AGGGAGGGTGGAGAATGGAAGGGTTATCCTCTCATGTTTCACAGATGTTGATTTCAAGTTTCCACCTGGTAACAGCCTAGGGGCCAGGGCATAAAGATACAAGTCAAAACATAGAGACACTCAGAGAACTGACAGCATCCAGCAAGGGAATTACAAAAACTCAAAAAAGCTTTCACTGGCTGAATAAATATCTTTCCTTGTATTTGCACTTTCTTTTTTCTATTTACTGAATTTGGAAAGAGCCATAGACTTTACTGCCTTTTCATATTCTGGATTATATAAAAGTATAGCCTACAAAAATAAAAATTTTCATATACAGACTAAATTAAATTGTGATCATCTTCTAGTATCTATGTGCTTTATTTAAAAAAAACACGCACAACTGGTAGACAACAAGAAAGGTTTTAAACTATAAGTAAGGAAAGTAATAAATGGTGTGCTTTTCATATAAAATCATGGCTTTCTTCCAGGGAACTTTAGAAATATGTTCAAGATATATAGAAAACCTCCATAGCAGAGTACTTGAATTTTTGAATTTGCACAAATAGCCCAAGGCAAGTAAGAATCTGAATGAGTACTCATTTATTTTCATAGCCCACACTTAAAATAATTTCATTCCATTTGCCAGACTTACACATCCTGACAGCAAAAAAAAAAAAAACCAAACAAACAAAAACTGTCATTTCGGAAGTATGATAAATGTGACTCATAAAGAAGACTAGAAAGAGTGGATCAAGGAGTAGGGTTGGGGGTGGGGAAATAAACCCTTTAGTTACAATTTCAGGGAAATGAATCGACACAATGAAACAAATTCCAAGTCAAGTTGCTCCACTACTATATTACAGAAGCAGTTTAGAATTTTAAGCAGATGCAAAAGGAATAAAGCATTTAAATGGGGAGAAAAAAAGGCCGATAAAGTTTCTGGCTACAATACAAGAGACATATCATTACCATATGATCTAATGTGGGTGTCAGCCGGATTGTGCTCATTGAGGGAAACCTTATTTTTTAACTGTGCTATGGAGTAGAAGCAGGAGGTTTTCAACCTAGTGACGGTCACAGAGCAGCACCTTCCCCCTCCTCCTTTCCACACCTGCAAACTCTTTTGCTTGGGCTGAATATTTAGTGTAATTACATCTCAGCTTTGAGGGCTCCTGTGGCAAATCCCCGGATTAAAAGGTATGGTTTTCAATAATTGTCCTGAACTCTGCTACAGACTAATAAAACTTTGATCAAGTTGAGAAAAAAGGAATTATTTGGTAAGAGAAAAAGAGGAAAAAAATGTGTACTGAACTTTTAGTAATCTTTATGCAGTGTTTTAAACAAGTATTGCTTGAAAAGAGAAACTAAGTATTTGGTAAAATGGTTGCAATGCATTGTTTTAGTTCTTTCTCTCTTCTTTGCAAAGATGTTTCTTAGAGAAACTATAACCTAACACTGACTCTCTTTATTGATGTATTTTGTTTAGGAAATGTTTATAGAAAAGTATTCTAGACTGGCATGCTATTCATAGTTGGATTGTATATTTAAGAATTTATTCTCCTCCTGAATTCTTGTATACTTTAAGAACTTTTAAACTTCAGAGAAGTGAACTTTGGTGATTAGTTATAGACGTCTAGTGTATATTTCTACAACTTAGAAAATAATAGAAACTGTCATCAGAGAGGTGAAAACAAACACTGACTATATTTATGCTGATTATTAAGGACCTAACTAAGATGATCTCACAGTTAGCTACATAGTTACTAAAATGTAAAGAAGAGACTCTGCCAGAATTTTTGCTGCAAATGAAATTTTATCATAAGAACATTCATTATAGAATGAAAGTGTGGGTTATTTTTCTTTCTAATTTCAAAACAGGGTAACATGATGACCACTGATTAAGTGGGCTCCCAGTGATATAAATACCTGTGGCTTTTTCTTCAAATTGCTATTTTGACCAGAAAAAGAATCAGATGCCTCCTATAGCACCCCTTATTGATAGATGGATACTGCTTTTACTGTTTACTTTTAACTCATTTCTATTATTATTGAGGTTTTTAATTCCCCCAGTGTTGGGGCGGGGTGGGGGGGGGCGGGTAATTTGCTCTGCATTTATAGCTTCACTTATCTCCTGAGGTTTAAATTTTGACTTTGAAATTCACACCAAAGGCATAAATGACATCATACAAATTGATCTGAATGGTATAATTTAATGGGATGTCATTTAAGAAACCTAAAATTATTATTTTTGATAAAAACATTAATTTATGGCAATGAACTTTAGTGAAGTAGTGACATTCTTAGCAATTAGCATTTAGGAAATAGGCATACATTTTGAGAATACTTAAAATGGTTGAAATGAAATTTTAATAGTATATCATCTCATAACAGTCTCTTTGATGTCTAAATGGGCTACTGATATAGATTTGTTTGTTTTCCTGATTATTAAGAAAGGAAGGAAATGATAAAGAGACTATCACTATCAGTAGCCTACATTAATTATTTTAAGATGCTATGTTCTAAGTATTATGATACTAATCTAAAAGAAGTTATTTCATGGAGGAATTTGTGCAAAATACCTGGCCATATTATTTTTCCCCAGGACATTCAGGGTTAAAATGCACACATACACACACACACACACACACACACACAAGAAAATGATAAGTAAAGGAAGCTAAAAGCTGTCTGTCTGAGTTCAGATTCAACCAAAAAGAATATTGTGTAGAGAATTGGCACCATTTTAACAATAGTAAACAAATATAAATGATAATGTTCCCCTGAGCTAATATTTAATATTCTGTTTTTAGGATTAGTGAACCAGGCATTCTTTTTTTCTGAAGAAAAGATCAGAAACAGACATATGCATTAATTTCTCATTGCTATTTATTAAATCTGCAATTAGTTTGCTTCATTTTTTTCAAAAATTGTAAGACATGAAATATGCAAGGCTAGCAAACTTGTGGTAAACCGTAAACATTGCATTTTAATGTGAAACAGACAGAAAACCACTCCCTGAGATCCAGTCCAAGGGAACCCTGCCAAAACAATAGGGTCTCCTTTAAAAGGCAATGCAGTAACTGAGTGGGAATGGGTTTCCAGAGAGAATCTGATACTGAATTTAAAGGGGCAGTGTGAATAATAATCTTCATGGTATTATTTTAAAGTCTGTATGGTATATATTTAAAGCCTGTATTGCATACTGTTGCCTTTGATGTGCTTCAGTAATAAATATAAACTAAGAATAAAAGTGTAAGAAATTTTAAAACACTTGTTTCCCCAAAGTGGATCTAGGCAAAGATTTCCAGAATATATATTAAGGTTATGAAGACTTATCTTCTCTGTATTGCTATCATTTGGATAGTGACTGGAAATAACGTAATTAAAGATGATGAGACTAAAGATAATATCTACAATGTGTTTTGGGAGTATTTTGAGCAGTTTTCATGGAGTTTGAAAATATATATAACAACTCAGACTGTTCTGTCCATGATCAACTACTTTTCATTATTCAGATTTATTAAGATTTTGTTACTCAGATTCATTTAGTTCACTTCAGCCATCTAAACAACCAACTCAATAACAGAGATGTATATATATCTAGAAGGGCTTGTTAAATGAATGGATAAAAATGGTACAGATGTGTTGAAATCATATTTTTATTTGTCAGTTTGTTTACAAAATAATCATATTGGTAAAATTAGATAACATATGTCATATAAAAATCAGATAGGATTTTCCACATGTGTTTACTGGTTTACACAGTTCTTAAAAAGGATTCATTTGAGAAACTATCCAGAAGATTTATTTTAAAAACTGAATCATGCTTGTACCAAGTTCAGGTTTTCAATTTGGTATCTTTTTTATGCTAGAGATTTTATATTGAAACAAAGATAACCGTATTTTTAAAAATCAAACTTGGTTGCTTAGAACAAATGGAATGACTTGTATTATTAATAAATTGATGGTCAACTGAGTCATTTATGGGCAGAATATTGTGCAAGGCCCCGGTACAGAACAAAGGATAATAAGACACGCCCTAAAGGAGTACATCTTCAAGTGGGGGAGCAGAGCAAGCACGCAAAACAAATTACAATATAATGTGATAAGTTCTTTAAAAGAGGTAAGCAACGTGCCTTTGGAGCACAGAAGAAGGAGAACGCAGCATCCTGCCTGGATGCGCCAGAGAATACACAAGGGAAGCCCATTATCTCATTTAGCCTTTGCAACTCTCTCACAAGGTAGGTATTTGAAATGGTGATTAGCTTGGAGTGTCAGGGTTGAGGTGGGGACTGGGAGTAGAGAGAAAATGGAGAGGAATATGGCTTATTATCAGTTGGTGCCAAACGTGCATGGTCTTATATGCAACCAAGGGGATGGAGACCTTACTGGCAAGCTGTGAGAAGTCAGCAAAGGATTTGCAGTAGAAAATTGATACAATGAAATCGAATTTTTAGAAGATGACTTGGGCAGCAGAGTGGAAGATGGCCTGGAATGGAGGAAATACTCAAGACTGAGACTATTTGAAAGCTCTTGTTCAGGGAGTGATGAGAAGGGTCTGGACTGGGATAAATGCAGTGGGATGGAGAAATCAAATTGGCTTCCAGAGATATTTCTGAGCAGGAATTGGAGAACGCTCATGTGTACAGACAAAATTGTTTAACTGTGGCACGGCTTGTGGCCTTGAAAATTCCAATGTGATTTATCATCGCAACAGTTTTGCAGCTTGACTATATAATCTGTGGTCTTAACTCAGACCCCAAATTCAACGAAGCGATTCAAATACTATTTAAATTTTTCTTCATAAGTAAATAGTGCAAGTTTATCTCTACTGAACCTTATTATCTTCCAAATATATTTCTAATGTTCTGCTCCTAACAGTACATAAAATATTACTTTTTTATGCTTTTTTCTATGTGCACTCCACTTAGGTAACGCATACACTAGGCAAGGCTACTCTTCTAAACCTTCCGCTTATTTCCCAGGTTCCTTGGTTGTGAAAATATACCAGAGAAATCATGAAGGCAACTATCATCTTCCTCTTGGTTGCACAAGTTTCCTGGGCTGGACCGTTTCAACAGAAAGGCTTATTTGACTTTATGCTGGAAGATGAGGCTTCTGGGATCGGCCCGGACGACCGCTTCCATGAAGTTCCTGAGTTAGAGCCTATGGGCCCAGTCTGCCCCTTCCGTTGCCAGTGCCACCTGCGAGTTGTCCAGTGTTCTGATCTGGGTGAGTGGGATGCAGGCGCTCTATCGACCTCATCTGCTTTATTCATGGGAATGGCTTCCCTGGGAGTGCAGCATTTTCAATTTCTGCAATTCCAAATGTGAGAGACAGTGCCACCTAATGAGGAGTAAGGGAAGGAGAGGAGGAGTGAAAGAAGCAACTTTGAAGTTAGGGGACTTGATTCTTTTAAGTCAGAGAAGCACCACTCTGCTATCTTGGACTAAATCACTAAAAAAAAAAAAAATGTTTTTCTGAGCTTCATGGCTCCCCTTATGTAAAATAAAATTTTGAACAAATAATATCTTGTGTTCTATGATTCCAAGGTGGTAGATTATTTTAAGTCTGTGATTTGCTCCCATGAAATCTTAGATATTAAGAAAACCTGGGTGATCTCTCTACTCTTGGCTTAGCCCAGATAGCAGGGTTTGAACAAAACTGTGAAGTATGCAGTGTTATCAAAAGCAAACCCAGTAAAGTTTTAGAACAAAAATTTATCTTTCAAGTACCAAAATACTCTCATAATCCCTAGGTCTTAGTTTTGCCTCTGCCTTTGGAATTTTGTAATCTAGCTGTTTATATTCTTTAGAAAGTTTCAAAGAAAATCTTTATAACTAAGTCATGGTATAAATATTCAATATGATCACAAAGCCTATATCTTTAGCCTAACACTGCAAATGCATTTTGATTTATTATCTTTCAAGAAAAATTTGGCCTGGGAATTCCAAGAGCCATATACTCAGAAGATAAATCTCCAGAAAGTTTGGAGCCCCAGCAGATGAGCCAAAGGGGAATGAATTTAGCTTACATGGCAGCTGATTCACATTCTTCTTTTCTTTTGGTTCGTTTTCTTACTGGAAAGAAAAAAAGAAGGAAAAAACCTCACAGGATGATTCTGCCATGGAGCATTTCCTTATGGAATAAACCCCATAGCGTTGTAGAGTACTTATTTTAGAAATCCTATAGTTATTCAGAATATGCTTTTTAGGGGTATTTTGCAGGAAAATGTGCCACTAACTCCTAGAGCTGGAATAAACACATATAGGAACCCAGGAAAATATGAAGCATGTTAAATAGTAACAGCTGCTGAAATACAAACACTTTGAGCTAGATTCTTTGATACTAACATGTACTGTACAGTCATTTAAACCCAAATAAAAAATATAAAGGGAGATTTTTAAAAGGCTACAGGATAATACCATTAGATTAATTAATTATTCATTCATTCAGCAGATATTTTGAGATCTTATAATGTGTCAGATCTGTTCTGGGCCCTGGGGAAAAAGCAATGAGGAAGACAAATATGGTCCCAGTTCTTGTGGGTCTGTTATTCTACTGGTGACGATTTTCCTTTTCTGAATTGTTTATTTGAGACAAAGGGGATTAAATTATTACCAAATTCTACAGAAACTTTTTTAGCATCTAGAGATTGTTCCCATAACTGGCTTAGACAAGATATCTAAAGAAGAGAATAAACATGTGATGGATATACTGGTAGTAAAATTTTTCAAATGTTGCAAAAATGGCTGGGGTTCTTAAGAAGTGTGATGAAAATTGAATCTCACTTTTCCTGAGAACAAGTTTAAAAGGATCCATAATTACCCCTCACTACATATATTATCAACAATAGACTTGATATTTTTAAGGAAGATGGGTCCAATCACTTCACTGAAGTTTTTTTTTTTCCATATATATAGTTTTACTTTGCTTTCTTGATAAATAACTCATAAAGCTTGACTCTGATGAAAGCATTGGGACAGTTGACTAATTGTCTATCACGAAAATTTCCCAAGCCTATTGTTCAAAACTAACCAGAAAAAATATAACCTTAGGAAACATCAAGTTATTGATGTGGCTGTTTCATGATAGAGTTTCTTGGTTGTCCTTGAGATTGTTTTGTTTATTTTGTGTTGTTTTCAAATGAGACAGTTTTCCAAGTTATCTTTTTCTCTAAGATCCCAGAAAATACATTATTCCTTTAGGCTTACTGATCTTATTTACAGAAGTAGCTAAGATTGAAATAATGATTCATCTTGGGGAACCATGTTTGAAGAGGAGCCCTGAGTTCTAGTGAGCAATGAATGGTCTCCTATAAGTTACTTGTAGTGTTTTTTAATTTCACAGATGAGTAGTTAAATCTATATTTAAAAAATTGGTCATGAATTTTTAAAACAGAAAACACAATTTTTTTAAAAGGAAAAGCAATCCACTTGCCTTTAAAGAAAACACTGTATTCACATTTTCGACTACAACATAGCCTCTGCTCCCTTTATGATCGTGGTAAGCTGTTCAGAGTCTGAACATTTTCATCTGCAAAGAAATCACAGTCCTAAAGATCCTATTATGTGTGTGAAGTACCTGGCCCATAGTAGAGGTTCAACAGGTTTTGTGTAATCATCATGTGTGATGATTACATGGAGTAAAAGATGAAAGAAGCATAGGAAAAAGCAAAGAAGAAGTGGACAATCTCATTCATAGTAAAAGCATGCGTGCTAAGTCACTTCAGTAGTGTTCAACTCTTTGAAACCCTATGGATTATAGCCCGCCAGGCTCCTCTGTCCATGGGATTCTCCAGGCAAGAATACTGGAATGGGTTGCCATGCCCTCCTCCAGGGGATCTTCCTGACCCAGGGATCTTGCATTGTTAAGTGGTTCTTTACCACTAGCGCCACCTGGGAAGCCTAAAATAAAGGCAATGCAGTTTATTTTTTAAGTTCTCTAGTGAGCTGAACTACTCTTGCCTGGAAAATCCCATGGACAGAGGAGCCTGGTAGGCTGCAGTCCATGGGGTCGCTAAGAGTTGGACATGACTGAGCGACTTCGCTTTCACTTTTCACTTTCCTGCATTGGAGGAGGAAATGGCAACCCATTCCAGTGTTCTTGCCTGGAGAATCCCAGGGACAGGGGGAGCCTGGTGAGCTGCCGTCTATGGGGTCGCACAGAGTTGGACACACCTGAAGCGACTTCGCAGCAGTGAACTGAACATGAAGCTTGAATTATTATCATTTGTTTTCTTCAGTTGGTAAGCAAATAAAAATGCAGTGCAGTTTGGGATAAGAAATGTGAGTGCTTATCATATAAACAATTAATATTTTCTTAAGGATTATTTTTACCAGAGCTTTTAATGAACAGGGAGGAGCTTCAGTGTCGAAGAACAATAGTGCTTTGTCATCTTATCCAAACAGTGTTTAATGTAAGCAAACATTTCTTATTAAAAATATCTGATTATTTTGCAGTAAGAAGTATTTCTGACAAAGGTAAACAACATATCTTTAAACAGTTCTTTCAAAGCTGAGATGTAAAAACTGTGAAATTAAAAATGAATAATCAGCCCATGGGAAACTTGAAGTGTTCAAGAAGACCCATTGACTATTTTAGTTCCTAGTTTCAACTTATCTGAATAGTATTATCATATGTTTTTCTAGAGCATGGGGGATTGAAAAAGTAAACATATATTTTAGCCTAAGAAAGTTATGAATTCCCCATTGATATTGACCAAATTATTTGGTTGAACTTGTATTTAACTTGTGATTTGAACCATAATTTTATGAGACACATATATTATTTTCATTATCTATCCTTTTAAGGCATAAAAATTCACTCATAATTATAGCATTTATAAAAATATCAATATAAAAATAAATGTAAGATTAGTAAATTCAGAAACCTATGGATTTCCTTAAAATAATAAACCCACAATGTAGCTCATTCTTGTCAGATCTTTTGAAAAGATGCTTTATTTTATATACCTAGTACCTTAAGGGAAGACAGTTCTCTTACTTACTTTTTGGCCCAGCCATTCATCTTTGGATCAAGTGTCACCAAGAAGCATTATTTGGTACTTTCATCTCATTTATTAAAGACAGATCATCCCTAACTGGTGAAATAAGCATAAGTATTGTTTTTTTGACTATTCTTCCAAATTAAAGCAAAGTTTATTAAGATTTTTATTATAAACAACTTTCAAAAGATTTGAAATACCCTTAAAAACACTTGATTGTGGAAAGATCTTGGGTCACGCAGTTCAACATTTCTGAACTCAAGTTCTGCTTTACTATTTATGGTAGCTCAAACAGTAATGAGTCTGCCTGCAAAATAGGAGACCTGGGTTCAATCCCTGGGTCGGGAAGATCCCCTGGAGAAGGAAATGGCAACCCACTCCAATATTTTGCCTGGAGAATCCCATGGACAGAGGAGCCTGGTGAGCTACAGTCCATGGGGGTTGCAAAGAGTTGGACATGATTGAGTGACTAACATGGAGACTGAGACCTATAACGTTGAAACTTTCAAAGCCTGTCTCTTCACTGGATAAATGGGAATATCACTTCATTAGGTAAGAATAGAAAATATTTATACAAAATATATTTCATAGTAAATTTTATGTTCCGCTTACTACTTAAGTAAGCTAATAACATGAGGCTATTTCTCATTATGGTCTTTATTTTTATATGAAATTAAGAAACACTAAGTATATGGCTTGCCAAGCTGGATACAAAATAGCACCTTTTTTCTGCTCTCCCCCAAAGAAAGCCATATCACATCCAAATATAAATAGGCAAAAATTAGAAAATTGTATAATTATCAAATTAATGTAATTATCAAAATAATATTCTCCAAAGACTATTCCTTTGAACTAAATTGGTTTGGTTGAGTAGAGAACAATAAAGTGTTTGGCTATTTTATAATCATAAATGATTCACAACCTATATAGTTATATAGGCATCTTCTCTAAAGAAGATGCCAGAAGGTGGAACATTTTATTTTTCCAGGCAAAAGCATTATGAATAACTAATGTTTTTAAAATGTACCTCATAATGCAAATAATATTTTACTTGTCTAAAATCTCAGGAAAATCTACAACCCTTTAAATTGCATAGTTTTCTTCTTTTTAAAATCATTTTGCTTCAGTTAGGAAAATTTTGTCAGTGGTCACCACTTGAGACTTAGATGCCACAGCATCTAAGGGCAAACTGGTTTTTTAGAAGCAAATCTTATGTATGAGGTAA